CGTCTGATCTCGATACCCACAACAGTTGAGGCTAGGCCGAGGTCCTCCATTTCCCAGCGAGACGAGATCTCCTTCTTGAAGGCAAGGATATCATTACCTGTGATTGCCAGGTCGTCTACGTGAACATATACGGCAGTGAACACATTCTGCACTCGTCGGATGTAGATACAGTGGTCAACTTCGCACTGGATGAAGCCCACACTGACGAGGAACTCTTCAATGTCGTCCTGCCAGTACTTAGGAGACTGTTTGAGTCCGTACAGAGATTTAAGCAACCTACAGACCTTCTCTTCTTCACCGGGTACTTTGAAGCCTTCGGGTTGTTCCACGTATATGACTTCGTCGAGATCGCAGTTAAGGAACGCGGTCACTGCATCCATTTGATGTACCTCCCACCCGTTGAACGCAGCGATAGCAATCATGAGTCTTAGCGAGGTCGGTTTACCGGTGGGTGCGAATGTGTCGAAGTAATCCTCGCCCTCTACCTGAGTGTTCCCCATGGCTACGAACCGTGCCTTGAACTTCACGGGATTGTTGACATCTGAGGTAGGTTTCTTTCAAAATAGCCACAGACCACGTATCACATTAGCAGACTTGGGTCGATCTACCAGATACCACACCTTCTTGTCGTGCATTGCCTGGATTTCCTTCTTGCAAGCCGCCAACCAGTTTTCACCTTCGGGACCTTTCACAGCCTTAGAGAAAGATTTAGGAGTGTCGTCAGTAGTGAGCACCATGTTGCAATTGGGGGTAATGCAGTCGAAGTGTTGATGTCGATCCCAGGCAGTCGATATAGAGGATGACTCCAGGCCTTCACCAACTGTTACGGCAGTGTACTTAACCGCCTCCTTGACCCTGCCCGACCTTTGGGGGTAGGAGGTTGCGGGTGGTTCCTCAACGGCAGTCGATGGTTCGACAGTCGGAGCAGGTGTGTCTTGGGGAACTGGCGAGGTTTGGGGAAGTACCTGGTCCGGAAGAGTCGGCGGTGCGTGATCATCATCACTTTCATCATCAAAGTACTTGATGTTCACGCATGGGTTGGTAGGTGTCAAGCTTGTACTCTCTGCCGGAGCGTCAGTCTTGGATGAGTAAGGGAAAACATTTTCATTAAATGTAGCGTTGTGGGTGATGATGAGCTTCTGCGAGGCTAGGTCAAAGATCCTGAAGTTGAAGTTGTCCTCCTCAAACCCCATGAGTACACCCTTGGAGCTGACAGGGTTAAACTTCGAACCACGTATTTCTTTTCTGATGAGAGAAAACGCAAGACACCCAAAGACCTTGAGGTGGCCGATGGAGGGTTTCCGGTAGTGCCATGCTTCAAACGGTGTCTTATTGTCCTTGAGAGACGAGGTTATAGTTCTGTTGGTCAGAAACACGGCGGTGTGGCAAGCCTGAACCCAGAACCTCAGGGGCATAGAGGACTCTATCATCATTGACCGGGCTTTCGTGCTTATGGTGCGATTGCCTCTTTCCGACACGCCGTTCTCTTCAGGTGAGTAGGCGGCAGTGAGATGAAGGGTGATGCCACGTTCACGAAGATAATTCCCAAGGAGATCATTTAAAAACTCACTCCCTCTGTCAAGGGTAAATTGTTTTAACATCTTACAGGTCTGTCGTTCTGCAAGGGCGATGTAAGATCTGAAGACATCATAGACGGATTCTTTTGATTTGTCTTTCAAGAAGTAAATATGGCAATATGAGGAAAAATCATCACAAAATAACGCATAGTACATTTCATCTTTGATGCCTTTCACTCGAATGATACCACTTAAATCAACATGTACGTTTTCTAGATGACGTGTAGCTCGAGGTCTAGTGGAGGAGTGTGGAGTTTTATGGTTTTTAGATAACGAGCAGGTTTCACACTCTTCTAGTTGGGTGATAGAGCTAGGAAGACCATTCACACTTCTATGATTGCACATGACTTTAAGATAGCGGTTACTCAGGTGGCCTAGACGACGGTGTTGGAGCATCGAGAGTTCTTCAGCTGATGTCAAGGACGAAGCGATTTCAGAGATTGGACTCACTGGTTCAAGTGAGACATACATCAAGTTGTTGGACGCGAAAACTCCGTTGAATAAAGCTTCACCTTTGTAGATTAAGGAGAAACAGTTCGGGTCATTTGGGTGTATAATGACTTGGACACCTTTACGAAGCATTGCACCGCCGGCCAGTAGGTTTTGAGCCAAATCAGGAACGAACAGGCTGTTGTTGAGTTCGAATAGCTTTCCTGACCCCGATTTCAGTTTCACAGTGCCCGTGGAATGAACTGCCAATGAGACATCACCCCCAGCAAGTTTTAACCTCTTGGACGCATTGTCAACTTTCACCATGGATTCGGCCGCAAATAAATTGTCGGATTTGAACATGTAGTGGGTGGCGCCCGTGTCATACAAGGCCCACTGTCCACCGCTTTCGCTGACGATATTAGCGGCAAGAGATTCTTCTTCAAATACGGTGTGAGAAGATTCAAACGTAGTGGTGGCTGAGTTTGACGCAGTGATGTCTTCACTCTCGGGTTCATCGAGATAGATGTGAAGCGACACAAACGGATTCGTAGAGGCGACTGATACACTTGCGGACGGTAATGAAAGTTGGCGTATACCTGAGATAGACGAAGACAGAGAGGAGTTCTGAGGTCGACTGAATACCGGGTTGTTTCGCTTGGCCTCCATTTGGGCTATCCACTGATCGCGAGCAGCCTTGTTCCGGGGTTTTGCGAAACATTTCTCTGGGGTGTGAGTAGACGAGATGCATTTGTTTTCCGTGCACCGTGGCTTGTTGCGACGAGAGTTTCCACCCCCAGACTGAACAGCAGAGGATGCGTATTCAGTCCTGCTCGCTTCCACAAGGGCAGGCGTGGTAAAGCCACCATTCCTTGCTTCGTAATCGATGAGGTACTGCATGACTCCTTCTCGAGTGAGAGGAACCACATGGGCGTAGATATTCTCAGAGACGTTTTCAGAGATTCGGGATTTGACAGTTTTGATAAGTTGTCTGGCGGCTTGCGATGAGGTGAGCTTTCCTTTGTATTTGGCATAGTCCGCGATGAGGTTGTTAAACTTGTCGCAATGAATCTTGAATGAGTCTGTGCTTAGGATCTTCATGTCGTTGATGGCATCTTCGATGGTTTGCATACCAGCCTCGGAAATCTTCTGATGGTGATTCTTGAGGAAGGTCCAGATAAGAGAAGGTTCGTAAGCCAGATCATCATCGTCATCGCTATCGTCGTCTTCATCGTCAGAGTCTTCATCCGAGCTTCGGCGTAGTTTCAGCATAGTCTGACATCTAATTTTGTTATGACTATCCATTAAACCCAGCATCCATATGGACACTACCAATTTTACCTTCAGGTGTTGTTCATCAGACAGAGTGGGAGCTTTGAAGTCCGATTTCGTGAGGTATTTGTGAAAGTCGATAGCCTTCAACGCTTGTTTGATTTCGATGGCCCAATTTGGAAAGTTTCCGTCGGTGAGCTTGGTATCGATACCGTATTTGGCTAGTACCGAGGTCAGCTTCTGAACAAACTGCTGGAGCGGAGTTCCGAATACTTTGGCGTCCTTTTCATTGGGAAGTAACCCTTCAGGATTTGTGGTTGACATGTTGGGTACCTCAGTATGAGTGTCTGATTGAGTGTCGTCAAAGGAATCGGATTCTTCGCTCTCGTTATCAGTGAGAGTAGGATCGGGCGATGAAGGTTCGGGGTTTGATGGCATAAAACTCTGGACGATGGACGGATCGTTGGATAAGTCGAGATCGAGGTTCAAGTCGAGATCTTATGGATCTCTCGCTACCATGAAATAACAGAACGCGGAATGAAATTCTACGCGCTTGAGCTGATGTTCACACCTGGACAGACAGGTGAGATGATTGAGCTCAAAGACTCGAAAAGACTTATAAAAGATAAGAAGGGCGGAGAGAACTCGACGCCTTACCTGGACAGACAGGTGAGATGATTGAGCTCAAAGACTCGAAAAGACTTATAAAAGATAAGAAGGGCGGAGAGAACTCGACGCCTTACCTGCAACAGAGCAGGAGTAAAAGCAAGCGGAAAGTTCTGAGTGAAACTTTTCCTAACGGTCATATATATTCCAAGTAAACATAATAAATGAGAGAAAGATCGAGTAAAGAGAGCTGAGGAAAAGAACTCAGAGTCAGAGAGAGCATAGGTATATAAGAAAACACACAACGAACAAGCAGAGAGAAAATTTTTGACAACGAGTGTGAGCTAGCCCAGAAGGGAAATCTAGATAACTACTGGTAACACCTAACGCTCAATGCGGATCAGTATTGCTCCCAAAAGGTACGTTCTTCCATATCTATACCACCCTTGAAACCACTTCACACCTGACCATTTCATCCTTCCATCCTTCTCCTTGCTCGTGATGTACTTGACCATAACTACCTTAAAACCATACCTAGGTTTTTACCATAACAGGTGGGAGTGGTGGTGTCATTTGAGATGTGGTGATGGGATCCCTTGAGAGATCGGTGACTTGTGCAAAAATCGATTGTGAGTCTTCATGGCTGGTCGCTGGGTATTTCGGATACTTGGCCCCGGGGCGATGACTGGCCGGCTGGCGGTCGACCAGCGGCCTCGCTTGGCCAGGTGGTCAAGCTGGACCGTCAGGCGGTCTAGCAGGGCGCACGGCAGGCGGCCTGCATGAACCTGGGCGACAGGCCGTCGAAGATTGGGCTCAAGAACGCTCCGCAGTCCAGATTTGGCCGTGACCATTCTCTGATGGGAGTCTGGCGATTTTCTGATTCGAAACCCTCCCGTGGTGTACTATTTCATGATTATAAGTCGTTTGCTCGACAAATGCTCTTTTGTTTTTTTCCCCAGAAGAAACTGAAACCAATTTCTATTCTTACATTCTCATTTTCTTGATATCTCCTATCCTCGATTACATTTACCAATTCCTTCTTCTTAGTTTCATTTTAAACCCTCCTACCCTTATAACTTCACGTTTTTGCTTTATCATCATCCCAATCAATTCCAGATGGCACCAACTCAAAGTACTCTGCGATTTGATTCAGGCTACGAGACTGACAATAATGGCCCACGCCGTTCAGGACGCATCACTACTCCTGCACGTCTAGGACCCGGCATGATCTGTCCCCCATCTGACAGCCGACAATCCCTCGCTTCTTCAGCCTTTACCTTTTCTCTTACTAACGACAGCTTGACTGACAAGGGAAAAGGAAAAGGAAAGAGCAAGCGTGCTCGATCCGAATCCTTTGCTGAGCCTGCGATTGACTCAGATGCCGAGACCGACACACCTGAGATTGTCAGCGGACCAACTCGAAGAGTGATTCCTCCACCACGACGAATTGGTGTAGGTAGTTCGAATCAAGGGACATCTAAGGTGTCAAAGAAGACCTCTGCAGTTTCTCGGCGCAGGGATGAAGCTGAAGCCGAATTGGTAAGTTTGTTTCTTTATTCCAAATCACCCCAATTGATGTTGTGTGCTGAATCTCTTGCATCATTTCAAGGCTTTAGCTGCTGACGCTGGAGTCGAACCTGATCTCAATCAAGACTCGGATGAAGAGAATCGACGTGTTCGTCAACGAATTCAAGGTGCGAATGGTCAAGAAGTTGATGAATATGACCCACCTGTTATATACTTTGGGAAACCGTTTTGTCGACCAAATGACGTAAGTTTCTTTTATTTTCATCATTGTTTCAATGAAAACTACTAATGAACACTTTTTGTGTAGGATCCATCTGGTCCACCCTTGACATTGAAGTGCAAGTGGTGCCACAAAGAGGTCCGTATTAGTGGCAGCTCGAAGTCAAATCTTCGCTGCCACCGTGATGGTTCAAGTCAGGCTGGTAAAAACAACCAAGGCTGCCCTCGTCGGGACCAAGCAATCCGTGCTGGTGCAAAACTCCCGCCAACTCGAGCTGATATCAAGGCCTCTAAGATTCGCGATCAACACGCCCACTCCTTGGACAACTTCCTCCTTCCTGTTCCCAAGTTTGACGGCCTGGTGGTCAATCAAATGATCAGTTTATGGCAAATAACCAACAGTCTCCCTTGGACCATCATTGAGCACCCTATGTTACGCGCAATCCTCTTGTATCTTTGACCGGGTATCCAAATCTACAAACGAAAATGGTCAGCAGAAGAGGCCAAGCGTCTCTATGTGGGCCTGCACAAAAATGTCATCAAAGAACTTAGAGTATGTTTTTTTTACTTTCTTTCTTTCTAAAATTATTATCCCGTCTCTTTAAATATCTCTCAAGTTATTATTTTGGTACTGACCAATCTTTTGTCTTTTGACCAGTCACTTACAAGTATGTTCACGTTGATCCAAGATGTATGGACAGTATCTCGCAATCGACATGCCTTCATCGGAGCGTTAGTTTCATACGTCAATAAAGATTGGAAGTTTGTTGTTCGCCACCTTTCCCTCAAGCTCGTCGCCTGGCATCACAAAGGCGAATGGCTGGCCGCACCAATCGCTAATGTACTCAAAAAGCATAACTTATGCTCAAAGATAAGTTTCATTCTTATCTTTTCACTTCTAGTTTCATTCTTATCTTTTCACTTCTATCATACTTATTGTTTTTTTTCTCTCTAGCACATGGTTGCAATGGCCACCGATTCGGGTTCCAACAACCTGACCTTAGGTAGGGAACTTCAGCGACAATGCATCGAACACGACCCCACATGTCATTGGAACTCAAAGACGATGCATATATTCTGTATCTGCCACAAGACTGGCCTCATTGTCCATGCAGGACTTGACGCTCTTGGGATTCCACCTAAACGACACCGACACACCACTCTTGCGAATTTCCCTAACATTGACACAATGGAAAGTGTACCTGAAGAGGACGAGACTGTTGTGATCAACGTTGAAGATCCTAGGAGTTCAACCCTTGAAGATCATGAGAAAGATGAAGATGATCCTGATGTGGACCGCCTCCTTGATTCAGAGGACGAGGAGGATCCTGAGGAGGTCCTTCAGGAATGTGGGGAAGGCGACCAAGAAGACGATGAAGATCCCAGCCCACCTCAAGTGACTGCAACACATGCGAAGAAAGGTCTACCTAGGACTCGAATGGCCCGATTGATTAGAAATGTAAGTATTCAATTTCACTAAGCTTTTGTATCTTCTCATTTATGAATTTTAAACTCACATCTATTCTTGTTTTAGCTGAACATAGTCAACAAGAAACTCACTCGATCAGCAGCCTGGAGGGAGGACTTTAATCGTCGTCGTGCTGCCATGAACAAGAGGCGAAAGGAAGATAAAGAAGGTCCACCTCTTCTTGCTCTCCTAGCCGAGTATGGTATTAGGTGGAACATCGAGCTGGATCGCTGGGAATGTATGTACGCAGCCCGAGATGTGAGTTTTCAGATTCAGTTTTCAGATTCAGCCGTTGCGTTCACTATGCCGCAGGATGGAGGGCGATGGGCCAACTGGCTGTATGGTCTTACACGAGTACTCTGAACTTCGGTCATCTCTTAATGACCGTCTCACCTTGCTCTTGGATGACGATCAACTATACCCAATGATCAATGAAATGCTTCGACGAACGACAATCTATTTAAATGAGGCTATTGAATGCGACTCACTGGTTTTGGCGACAATCTTTCACCCAAGCTTCAGGCTAGGTTTCTTTGATTTCACTTTTGAAGACAATTCCGGTTTGAAAGAACGTGCCGAAAACTTACTACGCGCTCGATACCACGACCGTCAAGCAGAATTTGCCCGCAAGACAACTCCAACCGACTCAACCAATGCTGATGATATCATTGAAGTATCGGCCACTTCAGTGAAGAAGAAACTACCCAAGGTGTTTGATCTTTACAAACAAGCCAACACCTCAAGTGATCTTGGGGAATTAGATCGTTACTTACAAGGGTTGGACCCTCTTAGTTGTGATAATCCAGAAGACCTCTTGAACCCACAATGTGCTTTAGATTGGTGGAAGGTCAGTCTGTTCTCTTTTTTCATTGACTACGCGTGTGCAAAACACTGATATCAATGTGATATCTTTCTTTGGTATTTGTATGACACAGGAACATGGGGTCAAGTACCCAGTTTTGTCAAGTCTAGCTCAAGACTACCTCAGCATAACTGCCTCCTCAGCCCCTGGAGAGCGATTGTTTACTGTTGCTGGGCAAGTTTGCTCGGCGAACCGAGCCTCTATGCGTCCGCGATGTATCGAGACGTCAGTTGGCAGTCGGATGTGGACTAGGCAAGGGGTGCCTTTGCCTCGATCGTTTAGCAAGGTGGACAAAGTGATTGATTACATTAATAAAACAAAGGGGGGCAAGGGTGTCTCGACCTTAGATGTTGATGGGTTATAGTGTCTTCTAATCCTTTTTCACTATCGTGTTATCTTATATGTTATGCCCCTTTTTCACTTCCCCAACATCTTTATTATATGTTATGCCCCTTTTTCACTTTCTCTATGCGTATGCCAGGAATCAAATTTTTTGTTTATTTCACAGCGCTGCTCCGCTTTTTTGCCCCAGTCAAGTTGCGCTTCGAATCGCTGCTGAACCCAAAATTCAGCAGCCCGCTCCGCTTCTAGCCATTTTTGGTTTTCAGGAGCGGGCACTAAAGTTACCTATTTGAGGTGACTTTAAAGATTGTTACGTTATCGCAAAGCTGGGAAAAAGCTTTGCGTAGCGTAACGAGCCAGCCTTGGTGAGGTGAGTGTATGCGTTGTGGGACGCGTCAACGTAAACGTCTTTGCAATTTTGACGAGGTAACTTTGATGAACTGCTGTTCTGGATGAGGCAGTTTTACAAACCATACTCACGAAAATGCGTTTCAATCCAGACTCAGCTTAAAGATGTATTAAAGATGTATTGATACATAGATATTTGCAAGACACTGGGCCACCCAAGCTGAATTTCCTTTCACTTACACAGTTGCAATTATGACACTTTAGGATAATGTAACCTGGGCCCTACATACACACGAGAAGGAACATCCAATGATATGTTTATTTGTACAGCCCCAAATACACTTGGTAGTTCAAAAGTTTTTTTTGGAGGGCTTAGATCAAGATATTCATACAACATATCAAAATGTTGATTAAGTTTTTTGGTTCCAAGTGCTTCATTTCTGTACAAGGGGAGCAAATTTGAAGGGTGCGCTCGTCTTTGTGTTTCTAAGCATACCTCACATTAATCCCAACTGTCGAGCACGTTCCGGATTCATACCACCAATCAAACCAGGAGGCGGTCCAGGCGGTCCGGGTTGATTTGGTTGATGACCAGTCCCATTGGGCATATTATTGCCAAAGGCGTGATGAGGAGGTGGAGGAGCTGATGAATGATGTCCAAGACCGGGAGGAGGTCCGGGTGGACCAGAGGGAGGCGGAATACCATTAGAATTCAGGATCGGGGGTCCAGCAAAACGCATAGGGGGTTGACCACCATTCATCGCATTAGAGTTACCCCCGTTCATCAGGGCTAACATCGCAGGAGGGAATGGTGGTAGGTTTGAAAGTGGTCCACTCCCTGGTGGTCCTGGAAAAGGTCCTCGCACTATTTGAAACAAGAGGAAAAGTATGGTGAGACTAAAGAAGCAAGTTGAAGATCAAAGGTATATAATTCTGGGGTTACGCACTCATTCCTGGTGGACCTGGCATATTTCCATTCATTGAACCTCCTCCACCCCCACCGCCACCATTTGGCCTCGCGGGATTCGAGCCACCGCTCTCATACATCCGTGTAATTTCATCGATGATGTTTTGGGCCTTGTCATGACCGAGAGCTGAATTTTATAGGTGTGGTCGCATGACAAAACAGAGTTATCATCAGTCATCATATTTACATTCCTAGTGAGAGTCACAAATTCTGAAGAGGGCAACCGACATGAGTAATAATCCCGAACGTTGGTTAAATGATTCCGACCACTGTTATGAGCCTTTCGAACTGAAGGACTAAAATCCATGTGTAATTAGTTTCGGTTTCAAATTAGACTCTTCATAATCTGAGACCAATAGGACAAACCTTTCGCTGACGAGGAAGACGTCTTTCAGACCGAGAGTCGAAGAAAGCCACAAACGCGAAAGGTGAACAATAACGGATCAGATCAGTCGGGGGTAAAAACTACTGATATGGAAAGAGCGAGACTTGATGGGTATGAAACTGATATCTTCATGTCTGAATTTGAGAAGACGTACCACAGTAGTCACAGTAATATTTGCCCATTTTCTATCCGATCTAAAAGACTAGACTTGGGTACGTTCAGGCCAATATGTTTTCAAGTGCTCGGGATTGAAGTTTGGTGAGTTGCGAATATGATAAAGCAATCGTAAGGGTTTGTGAGTCGATTGTAGCTGTTCGAGTTCTGCGTTGTTCTGGTCTGTGGTGACCGCTTGGCTTCAATTTCCTCCAAGCGAAATTTGTGTACTATCGGATAGTACTGGGGCCGTGATCCGGGATAGCCATCCGATTTCCGGTCCCCCGACCACCGTCAACCGTCCACGTCGCGAGTCTGACTCTGAGGTTTGGCTGAATTTGAGACTCGAGAGACCTCCTCTCACTCTGACTCCTTTGACCACCTGGTGCTTTCATCAGCACTCCTTCCCTAGCATCCAAAAATTATAACGAAGTGGAATTGATGATGATGGCGACCTGTATTATGCAGTATTGGTCGGTTTGCGTTCGGAAATGGCCAGTGAGCCGTCGCTCGGATGATGCGCCTCCAAAGCCATCTTTGCGAATGATTCCCACGCTCGTGTCATGAACCAAGCTGATCCTTGCATAAATGAGACTCGTGCCCTCTTTGTTGGCGCGCGGTGTAACCAGGCCAGTCTCACTCACAATGTTTGCCTCAAAGACCGCGGCTATGCTGAACTTCATCATCATCACAGTTTTTATCGGCTTATATATTTCAACCGAGCAATTGCACTTTAAGTTTCAACCCCGCCATTCGATTTCACCTAATCTACCTACAATCAAAGAACTCAAACCCAGGATTCGATCAGTTTAAGAAACCTCACAAAATCAATGTCAGCCTCAAATCAAGAACAATTTTTCAACGATGAGGAGACAACAGCTCTCAGGAATTTTTGGAAGCAACTTTTTAGCTTGTTGGGGTTGAATCCCGCTAGCGAAAAGTCTTTGCCCACCAGCAACGATGGCGCTCAGTCGATTATCTCACTCCACGGACGCGAGAAGTTTGCAGAAGCGTTGTGGAATTTCACTACGGTGCGTGTTTTTGTTGCAAAGGATACCACCGTCCCGCACTGGCTGTCACATTTGTAGCATTTCAAAGAGATCTATGATCATTGATGTAAACTGACCAAGGCCAATCGAAAATCTGCAAAATCATCAGGTAGACGATCCTGATTATACATGTATCAAGTTCGTTCGCGCTAGAAAACTCAATATAGATGAAGCTATCACGATGCTAATTGAATGCTTGAAATGGAGGATCGAATTTAATGTAGAATCTGTAATCTTCAAGGGAGACATAGGATTTATGTCCGAGAAAGGTGAAGATGGAGATGCATTCACTAAACAAATTAGTTGTGGAAAGACATTTGTACAAGGTTTTTCTAAGATGGGTGGACCTGTTGCATACGTATTTGCAAAACATTACAAAGCGGGTGAACAAAGTCCTAAAGCCATGGAAGGTAAAACCTTTGGTCTCTTCATCCTCTCCTGCAGCCTGATTGTGCATCCACTTTACTAACACATTGATGCCTTTTCATCCCAGACTTCGTCGTTTATGCCATGGAAAGTATTCGAATGTTTACTATCAATCCAAAGTCCAAAATCACTGTGGTCATCGATCTTGCGTGCGTTTCAATTCCCCTCTTCGTCCAGATTCTGTCAACTGATGGATTGAAAAACCTCGTTCAGCGGATTCGGGTTGGTTAACATGGATTGGAAGGCTACGATGTTTCTGAACAAATGTCTGGAAGCTTATTACCCTGAAGTCAATTTAGTTTCTCTATCCTCCAAACAAGATATCGATGGCTGATATGGTGTCTCTCTTATGTAGTCCTTACAAACGCTGATCATCTTTAACGCTCCTTGGGTCTTTCATGGAATTTGGAAAGTCATTTCATCTACCTTGGACCGTACGTACGCCCCAAATATATTCCATTGGAAAAGTATATTGAATTTACTTCTTGGATGAATTCAGCTGTGGTCCGCTCGAAGATCACGATGACTAAATCTGTCGAAGACATCCGAACCCATATCGACAAAAGCTATTTACTTGAAGACCTTGGTGGTGATTCAACTTGGAAATGGTGTTACAAGGTTCCAACAGCACGTCCCGAACTTGAGGATAGCAGGAAACAAGAACTTTTATCGCAGAAAAAAAATCTAATCGATCATTATGTCAAAGTGACTAATTCATGGATTGATGATGATTCTGTTACCAATACACAATTGAGGGATTTCGTTGCATCAATGCTTCGCGTCAATCATCTGTCTCTTGTAAGTTTTATTGATCATCAATCTTTCAAAAAAATGTTCTTGAGATTCATTCTTCTTTGATAGGATCCTTTCATGCGCGGTAAAACGGCGTATCATCAAGAGGGCAATATTCGTGAGAACGGCCAAATGGGTTTTCGAACTAGCCATACTTCATCACAGTGGGAATTCTCAAAGTATTATACAAGCAGAGATGAACTTTTAGATAAGATCAAGCGATCTCAAGACAATTTCAAAATTCAAAAGGTTGACTATCCAATTGTTGAATTTGAGCTTTGATTTATTGAATTCATCCTTTGCGTGATTATCATTCTAGGTTGTACTTTACTAGATCATATACCCATCGTGTCTTCTCTTTCATATTATCTTGATACATCGCGATTTCCTTTCTTCATCTTAATTTATTTCATTTCGCCAGGCACTCGTGAGAAACTCGGATATGTATTAATTAAATTCGCCAATGATCTCCTGAGGCGCACTCCTTTGAACCCAAATGCTGCATCTCCAACTCGCGAAACTCCGCTCAATGGCATGCTCTTTTTGAATTATACCTGGTGTGTATTATGAGCTCAAAATGAAATAGAGTGCCATGTATATAAGGGCACCTGACATTTTTAGAAGCTGTATCAGTTGTTCTTAAGGTGATCCGCAAGTGCTGATAGCTATCCATAAGTGTGTGGGTATATTAGCAATTTACTACAACTTGATTGATCAAGATTCATCACCTTGATGCCTTTGTGTGATTAGATTGCACACGATCAATTCAGAAAATCCATAATTAAACCTGATCTTTGTAGGCACTCCTGGGATACATAATCTCACTGTAAGGTCGTTGATATCTCGACCTTCACTGGGGTTATCAGATCTCTAAGGCCGTAGCCAGACTGAACAATCACCAAAATAGTATTCCTAGAAGAAGCCTGAAAACACCGTACTATCAATAAAAGAACTAAGAGAAAAGAGAAGGAGGTAAAGAAGTCCTCCTGGGGGAAGTAATACCTGAAAACACCGTACTATCAATAAAAGAACTAAGAGAAAAGAGAAGGAGGTAAAGAAGTCCTCAAGAGAAAAAGAGAAGAAAGAAGAGAAGACGCGCTCCTAAATAACTCTACACTACTAACACTGTAACATCATGTAATCCCATAACATCCTGTTAATCTATCCCCATACGCCTTCCTTACACTCACCATGAAGATCGCTTGACATTGAGAAAGTGTGATTATCTACATGCTACATTCACAATGTTTTCTAAACATGATAGAAGAATCCTAACTTGCATTCAAAAGAAAAAAGAAGGTTGAAGAACGATTTTATAAAAATGATCGAAGATGATCATCATGCTCAGGAATTTTCTAATGGGAGGAGTTTAAGGAATCGTGTTTTGAATTTGAAAAATGAATATAAGCATCAATCCCAGACAAAGACTCAGAATAATCAGGAGAGTTCACTCGGTCTGTAAAGGTGAGATTGTAACTCCTGAAAACTCTAAAGGAAACCAAGGGATTTTTTTTATAAAATCAATGCTGCTTGAATTGGAGGAATTGATAGAAGGGACGGTAGAATTGGTCCTGGCTCGGAGGGATTCTTCATTTCTTCCCAAGGGATACCTTTCATCCAAGGGTGAACTTGGATCGTTTCAAACGAAGGCTTAGGCCAGTCAAGTTCGAAACCCACGAGCCAATTGATGAAATGCCGACAGAGATAGTCATCGATACAATCGGGAAATGAAAGACGGAATTTATCTGACTGAGTTTCAGAGCCTTGTGGGTACAGAGCAAGAAATTTTCCTGTGATCATCTCATAAAGCAAACACCCTAGAGCGCACCAATCTTCATCAAAGCTCAAAGACATAGCAAGTGTAAAAGGTCTTTCCACCTGAATCTTAGCGAAACCGAAATCGGTGAGTTTGACATGACCATTCGAATCCAATAAAACATTTTCCAGATGAAGATCTGAATGAGATACTCCGCGAGCGTGAAGGTGTCCAAGGGCAATAGATAGTTCTGCGATATAATACCGAGCTTGAATGAATGGTAAAGGAATAGGCAGAGAACCAAGAGTACCTCCCCTCATGAGCTCAAGGATAATGTAATAATGTCCTTCTTGATAAACAGTTGTTATATGATCAATGATGAAGCGACATCCACTACCAATTTGGATTGCTGACACTTCTTTGGCGATGAGTGGTGGTAGAGGTGCGTGTAGACGAGAGTGTGAATGCTCGTGAATCATTTTGATGGCACAATGAGTTCGGTGTGTCAGTGAATAAGCTAACCAGACAGATGCATAGGCTCCAGAGCCGATTTTATTG